AAATCCTCTCTGAAAGTTTGGTAGACCTCCCAGGGAAGCTGTCTGGTCCTGAGCTTTTATTCTTTGGGATGCTTTTGATTACTCTTTCAATCTCTTTCCTTGTGATTCTATTCAGATTGTCTGTTTCTTCTTGATTCAGCTTTGGGAGGTTGTAAGAATCTAAGGATTTATCCATCTCCTCTAGATTATCCATTTTGTTGGTGTATAGTTTTTCATAGTGTTCTCTTATAATCCGTTGTATTTCTATGGTGTCCATTTCTCCTCTTTCATTTCTAATTTTGTTTATCTGAGCTTCCTGTCTTTTATTCTTTCTAAGTCTGGCTAGGGGTTTGTCAATTTTATTTACCTTCTCAAAGAACCAGCTCTTTGTTTCATTGATCTTTTCTACTGCCTTTTTTGTTTCAATAGCATTTATTTCTGCTCTGATTTTTATTATTTCTCTCCTTCTGCTGACTTTGGGCTTTGTTTGTTCTTCTTCTTCCAATTCAATTAGGTATAATTTGAGATTGCTTATTTGAGATTTTTCTTGTTTGTTAAGGTGTGTCTGTATTGTGATGAATTTACCTCTGATATGGCTTTTGCTGCATCCCATATGAGTTGGTATGGTATGTTATCATTTTCATCTGTCTCCAGATATTTTTTTGATTTCTCCTTTAATTTCTTCAGTGATCCATTGCTTCTTCAATAGCATGTTGTTTAGTGTCGACATCTTTGTTCCTTTCTTAGCTTTTTTCTTATAGTTAATTTCTAGCTTTATAGCATTGTTATCAAAAAAAGATGCTTGTTATTATTTCAATTTTCTTAAGTTTATTGAGGCTTGCCTTGTTTCCCAACATATGGTCCATCCTTGAGAATGTTCCATGTGCACTTGAGAAGAATGTGTATTCTGCTGTTTTGGGATGGAGTGTTCTATATATGTCTGTTAAGTCCAACTGTTTTAGCTTTTCATTTAATTCTACTGTTTCCTTGTTGATTTTCTGTCTGGATGATCTATCCATTGACGTGAGTGGAGTGTTGATGTCCTCTACTATTATTGTGTTATTATTAATATCTCCTTTTAAGTTTGTTAATAGTTCCTTTATGAACTTTGCTGCTCCTGTGTTGGGTGCATAGATATTTATAAGTGTTATTTCTTCTCGATGGAGTGTCCGTTTGATCATTATATACTACCCCTCTTTGTCTCTCTTTACGTGTCTTATCTTGAAGTCTACTTTGTCTGATGTAAGTATTGCCACACCTGCTTTCTTTTGTTTGTCATTAATTTTCAGTATCAGCTTCCATTCCTTCACTCTGAGCCTGTGTTTGTCACTAGAGCTGTGTTTCGTGGAGGCAGCGTATTGTTGGGTCTTGTTCTTTAAGCTATCTCATCACTCTGTGTCTTTTTATTGGAGAATTCAATCCATTTACGTTTAGGGTGATTATTGATGTATGAGGGCTTAATGCTGTCATTTTATCACTTGTTTTCTGGTTCTCCTGCATTTCCTGTGTTTCTCATCCTGTGTGTTTTGGTCTACCCTTTGAATTATGTAGCTTTTTATGATGTGTTTCTTTGTTTTCTCCTTATTTATTATTTGTGTCTCTGTTCTGCTTTTCTTTTTAGTGGTCACCATGAGGTCTGTATTCAGAACCTCATGTATAAGATAGTCCATTTTCTGATGGCCTCTTATTTCCTTAGCCTAAACTGATTCAGTCCCTTTCCTCCTCCCCTCCGAAGTTGTTTTTCTTACATCTTATTCCATCTTGTGTTGTGAGTGTGTGGTTACAATAACAGGATTATTTTTGGTTTTGGTGTTTTCCTTCCTTTTATCCTAATGCTATATTTCAGTATTTGCTATCCTATTCTGATGCTGTCTACCTATTTATCTCCTTACTCCATGATTTGTGACCCCTTTCTCCCTTTTTTTCCTCAGGTATGAGGGCATTCTTGAGGATTTCTTGTAGGAGGGGTGTCTCGTGGCTATGAATTCCCTTAGCTTTTGTTTGTCTGGGAAAGTTTTTATTTCTCCCTCATATCTGAAGGATATTTTTGCTGGATAGAGTGTTCTTGGCTGAAAATTTTTGTCTTTAAAGATTTTAACATGTCATTCCATTCTCTCCTAGCTTGTAAGGTTTCTGCAGAGAAATCTGCTGAACGCCTCATAGGGGTTCCTTTGTAGGTTATTTTCTTCTGCCTTGCTGCCCTTAGTATTCTTTCTTTGTCATTCATTTTTGCTAGTTTTACTACTATATGCCTTGCAGTAGGTCTTTTTATGTTGACATATCTAGGAGATCTGGAAGGCTCTTCCACACAGATTTCCTTCTCTTTCCCTAAGTTTGGGAAGTTCTCTGCTATTATTTCTTTGAAAACACTTTCTGCTCCATTCTCCTTCTCTTCTCCTTCTCGAACACCTATAATTCTTATGTTGCCTATAATTCTTGTACTTCCTCATTGAGTCAGGTATTTCTTGGAGACTTTTTTCGTTTCTTTTTAGTCTTAGTTCTCTCTCCTCCTCTGTCTGGAGCATTTCAACATGTCTATCTTCGATTATGCTGATATGCTCTTCTATGACGTACACTCGAGCATTCAGGGAGTCTGTGTTTTGTTTTATTTCTTCCATTGTGTCTTTCATATCTAATATTTCTTTTTTTTTTTTAAAGATTGGCACCTGGGCTAACAACTGTTGCCAATCTTTTTTTTTTTTCTTTTCTGCTTTATCTCCCCAAACGCCCCCCTATACACAGTTGTATATCTTAGTTGCAGGTCCTTCTAGTTGTGGGATGTGGGACGCCACCTCAACATGGCCTGATGAGTGGTGCCATGTCCCCGCCCAGGATCAGAACCCTGGACCACCGCAGCGGAGCTCGCGAACTTAACCACTTGGCCACGGAGCCGGCCCCTCATATCTAATATTTCTGATTGATTCTTCTTTATAGTTTCAATCTCTTTTGTGAAGTAGCCCCTGAACTCGTTGAACTGTTTCTCTACATTCTCTTTTACCTCATTGAGTTTTTTGATGATAGCTATTTTGAATTCGTTGCCATTTAGATTACATATTACTGTGTCCTCAGGACTGAATTCTGGGTACTGGTTTTCTCTCTGGTCTGGATATTTGATATAATGTCTGATACTGCTAGAGGAAGTGGGTTGGATTTTACACCTCCTCGTATTATTTGGTTGAAGTTACCACCTATTGCCACTTGGTGGGGGTCTTGAGCCACGTATTCTGAGCCCTGTGCCTTCAGCCAAGATCCCAGGCAGTGGAGCGGGCATGGGGCAGGTGTGCAAATGGGACCTTTCTCCTGCGTGCTCTCTGGGCTTTCTTGGTCTGCTCTCACTATCTGCTCTCCTGGGGTGTTGGCTTGATGAGGTCACCCCTAGCGAAAGCTCTTGCCCTGGTAGAGGTCCTCCCTCTAGGCTGCATGGGCTCTTGGGGGTCCTTGATGTTCCCGCAAATGAACGTCCCCTCCCATTCTTTCCCTCTGGGAGCCTCCCCTGTTTGCGGATCACAGTCTTTAGGGGAGGGAGAAAAGTTCTCTCTTACCCTGTTCCAGCTCCTCTGAGGGGGTCTCCAGGCTCTCTGCCCTCCGTTGCATGGCTGCTTGCCTCTCCGACATTTTTGTGTTGTGTTAGGATGTCCTCTGTTGGAGTATGCATGCCCCTTGTTGTTGTATGTTTGAGGGGAGAGAGTCCTGGGCAAGTTCACTCCACCATGATGCTGACGTCACTCTCATAGGGTTTTTATGGCCAGTTTTTATTCAGAAGTGAGTGGCCAGGTCCTTCTTCCTAGTCTGTCTTAGTCTGGAAGCTCCACTGAAACCTGTCCCCCATGAGTAACCCTGCTGGTATTTGAAATCCCCATAGTATAACTTTCAGCATCACAGCAACACGCAGCCCCCACAGTATGACAACTGACAGGTGGGTGGTGTGGTTCCCTGACCAGGAAACAAACCTGAGCCATGGTGGTGACAAGTGCCGAATCTTAACCACTAGACCACCAGGGCTGGCTAGCACAGGCATTGATGCGGAGTCAATGCTAGGTATAAAATGCCCAGGGCCTGTATAAAATATGTTCTTTTGTATAAATAAGGACCACATAAATAAATATGTACATGTATACATACATACATACACACATATACCTGCATTTACACATACATATACATATATGTGTACATATATATGTACATATATAAAATAAAATAACAGTGTAAAGTCAATTGCCTTCCCTGAATCCAGAGGAGATAAGAATTTCTAAAAATGTTCATCAGAGTAGATGATTCCTTGTTAGGCGTTTAGAAATTTCCTACAAGGTGAATTGAGAGTTCAAAGCACAGCCAGGAATCAGGTGAAAACGGAGAGGAAGGGGTTGTGCGTCAAGACACTGTCACTCGTATCCCTCGCTGCCAAACAGCTGCCTGCGTCCACAGTGGCCTGAGTCAGTGGGTGTTGGTCTGATGGGCTTTCTGTCTAATTTAGCACATCTTGGTGTTGTCCCAGAACATCCTCAATTTCTGGGTCCATGCGTTCCAGATCCTCAGCTGGTCCTGGACCCAGAGCTGGGACAGGGATTTAAGCTGGAGCAAGGCCAACCCTCCATAGGTCCACTTAATTGGTTATGATTTCTAACCCACTCAAAGATTCAGAAAGGGCTGATCCAAGAAACTCTGTGAAGCCAATCCCCACTTTGATCTGTAACGCTTGTGATCCTGCCCCTCCCTGGTGGTGAACACATTTTTAGGCTCTTTCTTTCCAGCCACATTTCCTTTCAAAAATGCTTCCTTTATTTTTCTTACTTGTCCATTTTCTGGACATTGAAGAGTTAACATTGAAGAGTGCCAATATATAGATGGTAGAAAGATCATGCAACGCAGAAGGCATTTTTGAGAAGAGAGAGATACTTATAAGAATGAACTACTATGAGGAGAAGTACTTAAAAGCTGCTGGAGATCGATAGGTGATTGTATTAACTTTGTAGTTGGAAATTGCCACTTCATTCACCTTCTGTGTTGTCATTTTTAAGGAGGAAGATGAAGGCTCGTGCCCCCCCTCCTCCTGGAAAGCCTGCCACCCCAGATGTGCAAAGCAGGCAGAAACCTCGTCGAGATGTGTCTCCAGGCCCTCCGCAGAATCTGCTCACCATGAAGGAGAACCTGCGGAACAGTGTGGTGGACGTGACCGTGGTTCTGCCTAGTGGACTGGAGAAGAAGAGTGTGGTCAATGGGAGGTAAGGACCCAGGTGCTTCAGGGACGAGTCACTGTGATCAGCGTGCAAGTCTGGGGAGAACTGAAGAGTGGATCTTGAAGGGTTGCACTCCCTTCTGTATCAGTCGGACTGGGGCTGAGGGGGTATAAATCTGGGCCCAGGCAACAGTCTGAAATGTCTCACTGGGGTGACTGTGTGCTAACTGGCCCCCCCACAGTGCACCTTAACCCTTAGGAGAGCAAGGCTTGCACAGCGCACTGATGTAAGAGGGCTCAGAAAGAAGGGGAAGCCCATATGCAACTCCAAGTAGGTGACCAGCCACCAGAGTCTGTGCCCATGTCTTGGTGCTGAAGTTATACAGCCCAGGTGCACTCTCCTGAATTAACCATTCAAGTGTCCACTTACAGGCTGACCCATAAGGGTGTAACTACAATCGGTAATCAATTTTCCAAATGAAAAGAATACTAGTTTGGATTAAGCAGTAAAATCCGACCCATGGGTTTTAAATTTAAGGGAATCAATTTCTAGACGCATATTCCTTCTTAGATCTGGTCTGCTTGTGAATGTGCCTGTGGTCAAGGTCACGTACCAGTTCTTTTTCCCACGTCAGTCATAGAGGGCACAACTGAAACCTTGGCAAAGCCTCTTTCAATCATAGTATTAAGAGTTTAAGAGTTTTATGACCAATAGAATTTCTAATTTTATGTTTGATATTTATCAAAATATATCATAATTATGTTGTTTGATAAATTTTGTATTACTACTACTATTGTGACTGGTAACTTGATCTATAATAAAAAAAATTAACAAAGTCACAGGAAACAAAAAGTAAAATTTAAACTTTTATACAGTTTTTATTATAGAGAATATGATAGAGTGACCAATTATAAAAACTTTCAAGGGGTTTGCCTTGTGGCCTAGTGGTTAAGTTTGCACACTCCACTTTTGCAGCCCGGGGTTTCATCGGTTCAGATCCCAGGCAAGCACATGGCACTGCTCGTCTGGCCGTGCTGAGGCAGCATCGCACATAGCACAACCAGAGGCACTCACAGATAGGATATACAACTATGTACGGGGGAGCTTTGGGGAGAAGAAGAAAAGAAAAAAAAAAAGATTGACAACAGATGTTAGCTCAGGTGCCGAACTTTAAAAGAAAAAAAAAAACTTTCAAGCATGAAAATATATTTATATAATTCTGAGGCAGGAGTGAATGGAAATAATATTTCTAGGAAAACAAGAAGAACAAGAAATGATAAAAAATATTTGAATCTTAAAAAGCAGTTTGTTCAAGTGTTTTGAAAATGAATAATGGTGGGAACCACATCACTCTGGGTGTTTTTATTCTTGTAGATACATTGAAAAGAGTGAGGCAGCAGTTTTATTTTTAAATATCAGTATTTAGATTCTACCAAAAATTATATCCTTTGCAAGTATTTAAACTTTATAATGAAAATTCTAGGTGATAGTTTAATGGGCAAAGAGGTACATAAGTTTTTACAATTATTTTATGGGCAAGGTGAACAAAATTTGAGGCCCGTTCCTCCAGGCCTCGGTGCGTCCCTAGGACTGGAGCTGTTGAGCTGTGGATACAACGTCATCCGCTCTACTAGGTGGTCCCAGACTGCGTTCCACAGTGGTGCCCCCCGGGGGTACGGGGCACACTCCTCCTTGGGGGCCCTTCTGTAGCTGTTGTCCCAGCAGAAGGGCTTGGATACAGGAAGTGAGATCTACACTGGGCCTATGTGGGAGGAGCCAGCTTGTGGTCTCGTGGCCCACAGAAGCCTGGAGCTCTTGTGCCAGTTCTCTAGGCAGCTCCCAGGGCTCACACGAGAGATAACCAAGGTACTAGAACCTCTGTGTTTCTTTGTTTCACGGAGTGGTCCTTGTTCTAAGTCCGTTTTTCCCACTTTAACTTGAGAAGCCTACCATATTATTAGAGGATTACAAACTACTTTAATAGATGCATGAAATATTATCAGTGAATGTATTATGGTTTACTCACCATTCTTATATTTATATGTGTATATATATATATATATATATTTTTTTTTTTTTTTTCTGTGAGGAAGATTGGTCCTGATCTAACATCTGTGCTAATCTCCCTCTATTTTATGTGGGATGCTTCCACAGCATGGCTTGACGAGTGGTGCTAGGTCCACACCTGGGATCTGAACCTGTGAACCCCGGGCCGCCAAAGCAGAGCTCACGAACTTAACCACTATGCCACTGGGTCAGCCTCCATTCCTATATTTTGGCTCAATTTCTAGTTGCATTTATTTTTTAAAAACACTTGACTGAGGTGTGATTAACATACAAAAACTATACATATTTAATGTGTACAACTTGGTGAGTTTGTAGGTAAGTATATACCCATGAGACCATTGCCACTATAAATCTAGTTACATACTTTTTGAGAAAATGGCCTGAGGGTCATGTCTCAATACCACAACACATGGTCCAGTTTGACAGTTGCCTGCAGAGAGATAGAATGCCTGCCTGAAAAGTAAAAACATTATTTTGAAAAATGTTTTCAAACTGAACACATTCTTCCAGTTGTATCTTTTTTTTCCTTTACAAAGTAAAAGCACCACTGTGCAGTTTTGCAATGTAACTATGAGACTAGGTGCAACCTTCAAGGTTGAGCATTAAAATACTTTTCTCTTTTCTAGTAGTAAATTGCAATCCCCTCTCCAAGATTTCTTATAGGATTAAGTGACTTAGAGCAGCAGCCTGTGGGCCCCTTAACTGGGTCATTGGATGATAACTATTGCTGGCAGCAGCTTCTTGTTTGAGGAACTAGTTTTATATGTCATATTCTTTAACAAGACAAGAGTGGGCTGAAGTCAATTCCTCATCCTTGCTGAGCATAGATCTACTAGTTGTTGATCAATGTGGTTTCCCTCTTCTGTTTTATTAGAGAACATGCCCATCCTTGCATAGGTTAAGCAAGTAGTTTATAATCTATAGTCAGCCCCTTACCATGTTATTTCCTGATATGACAGATTCTCATAGAGAAAATACGTTAGTAATTGGAGTCTGATGATTCCATTCTGTATATGACAGAGATTTTTTTTAAGCTTCCTTTGGATTTAGAAACTTAAATAAAAAGTCCCCATCTGTTCTTACAGAGTTAAAGACATGAGACTCGGTCTTCCGGGCCATTCATAAGGAAATGCTCTGGCATACTTTAGGAAAGGTGTTCCAGCACTACACATGGCCACTGGAAGGAGGCCACCAATTCCATCACTTTAATTGGGGCACAAGTAAAGAGAAGATCTTTGGAGAGACAACGCCCTTAGCTAAAAGAGAACTTCATAAACTGTGTCAAGCGTTAGAGAGTTGGGCTGTGTTCTTTAGATGGGGTGAATTAGTCCTAAGTTGGTACACATGTCCAAGGGACCCAGGGGCAGGACAAGGCAAGCATTCCATTTGCAGAATAGAGGAAATCTCCCTCAATATTCATTCCTGCAATTTTGTCTCTATGGGCCGTGAGAACCCCTTCCAATAGACACATTTACAACTGGGCAGGGATTTTGAGGTCCCGGCCCTGGTAAAACAACACAGGACTCTCAAGACAGGTATTGGGCCTCCATTACCCTGTGGAGAGAGTGCACCCATCCCAAGATGAAGGGGAGAGAGGCTGTGAGTGACCCTCAGCCCTGGTCTGTCCTTTATCTGCCCTACCCATCAAGGTGCAGGAAAAGCCTCTTGCAGAAGGAGTAGCTGTGCGCTCAGCTTGCAGCTTCTGAAGGGCCTGTGGCCTGACCCTTGCTCTCAGGTGAGCTCATGGCTCCAGGGGCTGAAGGAAGCTTGCTCTTCTCTCAAGGAGGGGAGTTGGAAAGCGCAGTTCTGATGCTGCGGAGTGGGCCCAAGGAAGACCTTGTCTAAATGACTAACAGTCAGGTTTGGTTTGGTTTAGTTTGATTTACGTTTTCTCTTGAAGAATACCTTTTGCTTTAAAGACTATTTTTTTAGAACAGTTTTAGGTTTACAGCAAAATTGAGAGGAAGGTACAGAGATTTCCCATATACTCCCTGCCCCTCCCTACCTCCCCCATTATCAACATCCCCTGCCAGAGTGGGACGTGTTAGAATCGGGCCCACGTTGACTCTTCATAACCACCGAAGTGCAGAGTTTACATTAGCGTTCACTCAGTGTGGTAGATTCTATAGGTTGGGACAAATGTATAATGCCATGTATCCACCATTACAGTAACAAAGAGAATATTTTCACTGCCCTAAAATCCCTCTCAGGGAAGATTCCCAGGACATGGAACCCATATTGGTCACATTAACTAGAGGTGGACCTCATTGAATGCCCTTCCTTTCTTATCAGCCCATGTAATGCATTTGACCATCTAGGTGCTAACTCACCTCCCTAAAGTGTTTCTGCCTTAGTAAGGCTTTATATGTTTGGGCTAAATCCAAGAGAAACTAAATATATATAGACATATCTGTGGCAGGCATATGTGGTCCTCAGCCTCCAGTTACTCCTGGGTCTTCTTTATGGGAACTTTGCCGAGGAAACTAACATGGTTATAAGCGACTTGCTTATCCTGTGAGAGGGTGAGTATGCTCTTTACTAAACCCTCTGTTTAACACTTCACAGGGGTGCTCTTATTGTTTTGGATTGGTGTTGTACCAATCATACAGAGGGAAAGTCTCATTTTGTGGGAATCTTCACAGACTAAAAAAATGAATATTCTCATTTGTTCGTTGAGCAAAATACCTATTGAACACCTAGCTTTTATGAGGCACTGGGGAGAGGACATTCCAGCAAGCAGAAGGAAATAAATAGCATTTGCAAATGACCAGTTTGGGCAAGAAGCAGGAAGTTTAGTGTTGCTGGAACCTAGATTGAGACGGGGAGATACATGGACCTGGACGTTTGGGCTGGTGGTGTCCTAGTGTGTCTCTTGTGGGCCATACCGTAGCTCCACAGGTTTCAAACAAGATTACACATGCCTCTGGGGACACAAGGTTCTATTCCAGCACTAGGCAAGTCAGGAGAAAACTTGTGCATTAGAACATTTTCCTCAAATGTAGGGAAAAATAGCTTTATATTAAATTAGCTTGCAGAATTCACTTGCATTTTTAAATAACTTTAAAGACAATTGGGCTATGTTCCAGGTCCCCCAGGGGGCTCATTGACTCACCTGCCAAGTGAGAAGCAGGTAGAAAAGAACTACTTCCAAGTGACCTGGACACAGTAGGCTCTAGACTCTAAAGTAAGATTACCTTCAAGATATAGGTCAAAGGTGATGAGGCTGGAGTTAAGAAAAAAACACAAGTTACCATGATGAGAACCTAACCAGGATGTACCCCTTGTTGAGATCACCTATTCACACCTGTCTGGGTAACACAGCTCTTGACATCACCTCTGGGCAGGATAACTGTCAGGCTCCCAGCCTCAGCACATTTCCCTCCAAGTCAAGGGGTTCCAACCAGCACTGTCTTTTAAACAATTTTAAAAGTTGAATGCCCCAACTCTCCCAAGAGTCACGTCCTCAGGCCCTTTGCAGACTGCAGCAACTGCCTGGCCCCAAGGGGCATTTGGGTTTTGTTAGGCTGTGGCCAACTCTCTGGGATTTGGTGCCGTCGTCCTGATGACTCGACTTCTGACTTGTACCTTAGACACAGGCGCCTCTGGTCCTTTTGCTGCTGCCTCATTCCCTCGTGCCTCACTTGATAGGCCCAGGACCCAGGCCACCATGAGATTGGACTCTTGGTGACCCCAGCCTTGAACCTTGAGTCTGTTGCTGGCTGGCAGGTTCTCTAGCTCCAGCCTTCTTCAGTCGCCTGTCTCTTCACTGTCAGGTTTTGTGTTCTGCCCGCATGTTCCTTTGTACTGGGCCTCGTCAGCACAGACCGCCTCTCGGAGAGCCTCGTTAGCATCTTGCCGTATCATGCCTCTCTGATGCCATTTGAAGCTGCCAGACTGGACTTTCTCTCAGGGTCTGCTCTGACTCTGTTAAACCAGAGTTTGCTGTACCCAGGGCTTTGGGCCACCTGCTGGCCTTGGTCCCACACAAGAAACTAGGCCACGTTCCACCAGTTTAAGATTTAACAGTACATGCATATTAAGTGTGTTTGTTTGAACATTATGTCCCAAAGTAACTACCTTAATGTAATTTGTAAACTTGACACCAAAGGAGCCCTTTATTTTGTGAGTACTTAGAGTGTAGTGGTTTTCAAAGTGTGGTCCCAGAGCAGCAGTGGCTACTTTGTCTGGGACCTTGTTAGAAATGCAGTTTACCAGCCCACACCTAGTGAATCAGGAACCCTGGGGTGGGGCTCAGCAATCTGTGCTTTAACAAGGCAGAAATTTCACATTGTGTGTTACACTTTCAGAATCCCTGCTGCAGTGTGTGCCGCTACTTCTGCTAGAGGTCAGGGTACGGGGATGAGGAGGCAGCCTCTGAGAGTGAGCCCAGGGTCTTGCTGGCCTGATGGCACAGAGGGAGTTGTAGGAGTGATTAGTGTAGGCAGCTCAAGGCTGATCCTCAGCAGCCTGACCACAGGCAGGCGTCATGACTTAGGTGGAAGAGTCCTCCGTTAGAGAAGGGCCATTCAATAATGGGCCCAACTCGATGGAGCTAGGGTCTGGCCTCTCTGACTTCTGTGTCCCAACTCTGTCGGCCCAGACAGCCCACTCGCTGTCATCTGTGAGTCTTCTGCGAGGTCCCTGAGTGGCCTCTGCATTTGGGGAACAGGAGTGCTGGCATAGGCTGTTCCTTGCTCTGTCTCGCTCTCTGCCAGGATTTCAGAAAGAACCACATTTGAGAGAAGACTCATATTTTTCTTGGTGAAACCACGGACTCATGCAACAATAGATTTTGAAGTCTGTACACATTTGAAAAGTAATATTTTTTAAAGAAAAGTAGAAAAATTATGCTCTTTAAACTTAAAAATAGAGACCACAACAAATGCCAAAAGATAAATTTCACCCCTATATTATGAGCACTTAAAAGACATTTAGGGAACAAAGAGATGAAGAAATTGGAAGAAAAAAGGATACCGAAGAGCAGTGAGACAGAAAACCACACAGATATGCTCCCTCACCCCACCACCCCTGTTAACGCAGTTTTGGGTAATCAGTCCTCTTTGCTACTGTCTGTTACTCTGCTATTGAACCTGGAATTTGGGATTACAGAAAGAGAGAGACAGACAGACAAACCCTGAGAATGGTGTCACTGTTCATCTTCGTCACTTCAGGCTACCGAACTACCAAATGCCACAGGCTGCGTGGCTAAGCAACATTTTATTTCTCATGGTTCTGGAGGAAGTAGACTGCGGGTGAGGAGAAGAGAGAGACAATGAGAGTCAGCATCAGATGGACCAGAGTCCCAATCCTAGCTCCACCTCTCCATGGAAACCCCCCACAGCAGTCCCCACCTCCCGGACCTGTGAGGAGGAGAGGGAATATGTGAAGTGCTCAGTATAGCTCCAGGCCATCATGGATACACAGTGAATGGTAACAAATAATATGTCGTTATTTTAGCATTATTAGAAGTCTGTTTTCTATACTGAGACTTTTCAGTGGAATATTATGTCTTGGAATCTTTGTGATGTCACTCCCTGTTTTTTGCATTAAGCTCAATATTTGAAAAAGACAATTTTCTTCTCAGAGTTGAAGGAATCAGAATTCACAGCATTATTAGATAGGGCCCCTTCCCATGTGTGATGCTTATGAGGGTTAGACCTGCATTGCCACACTGAATGCCCCATCAGAGTTCCAGGGGGCCAGAAGAAATGCTGAGCCTCTGAAAGCTCACAGGGGATTCCAGTCCCCCCTTAAGGCACATGCTGTTATTTAATTACTTCCTGGATAGTAGATGGGAGTAATTATTTTTGTGGAAGTGGTTTTGAGATAATCAAAGCATTATGATGATATTCTTTACTTGTAGACAGTTGAATGAGAAATAGGGCATTTGGGGCATTCTCTCAGGGTTGGGACTTTCCCTGTGGTTTTACTGTTCAGCGTCAGTGCCCCAGCAGCTCACAGCCCTTGAGGTGAGTGATGGATGAATGGTGGCGGGCCAGTGGCTAGCACCTATGTGTTTACAGGTGCACTGGGAGTCCCAGATCTGCACACACCCAGATCACCAGACACCTGGAAAGCATAATTGTTACCTGAAATAATTGCCATACCAGTTACCAATTAAGAAATAGATCAGAGAAAGGACCTAGCTTTTTGTGAGAGCTCGGGAAATTTAGGAAAAGATAAGTCAGCTTTAAATATAAAAACTCTGCTAGGCAGATATAAAAGATGTGAGTGAAATTTTCCATTCTTTGGGATAATCCGAATTGTTATTCTCCTCCCTTAGTAAATAATTACCTGGGATGGGGGGACATTATGATAATTTTCGACATTCGAAAAAGGTCATTTTCTTAGGGTTTTTCTTTTTATCTTTAAAAAGGCATATTTTTTAGCCTAAAAGAAAGTGATTGTCTTCGTCAACTTAAAAATTTCAGTTTTTAGGATGCATCATATTTATGAATAACTGAAAATATAATGCTTTGTATCCATAAGTAATATCATTTGTGCTAACTGACCTTACAGGATTCAAGTCCACATATCCATGAATTCAACTGGAAATACAACTATTTTCCCAGCTATTATGATTTCGATCTGATTGTTCTTTCAGTAGTGTTGTTTACTAATATTGAAAATGTTAAGAAATGGCTGTCAATCACACATAGGAATTAATGAGCCGCAGTTGTCTTTCTTCATAAGCACAGCCAGTTTGCTCGTTCGTCCACTGGTCCGTTGTTCTACCCTCACTCGGCAAGACAGAAGAGAGAGAGCAGACATTCCTAATAACCATGCTTTGTTTCTCTTTTCCAGCCACGCAATGATGGACCTGCTGGTTGAACTTTGCCTTCAGAACCACCTGAATCCATCCCACCATGCCCTTGAGATCCGGTCTTCAGAAACCCAACAGCCTTTGAGTTTTAAGCCAAATACTTTAGTTGGGACCCTGAATGTGCATACCGTTTTTCTGAAAGAAAAAGTGCCTGAAGAGAAGGTTAAGCCTGGCCCACCTAAGGTGCCTGAGGTCAGTAGGACGGGAAACCTGTGTCATCTAAGGACATATGCAGATACCTGTGACCACAGGTGCTGGAAGTGCTGAGGAGGGGCCGCTGGAGCCCCTCTTATCTAAGTAACATGTGCAGACAGCTGTGGTTGAGGTTCCTACTTCCATACTAAACAAAATTCGGAAGTAAACTGAGTTTATTTTAGGAGGTGGAAATTTACAGAATTTAGTAATGTTAATTGTTGTAACGTTGGTCCTTTGGATATTATAGGAAAGGAATTCATTTAGAGCAGAGCTAATCATGTGAACTTTCTGCAAAGATGGAAATGATGTATAATTCTGCACTTTGCAGAGCAATAACCACTGGTTGCATGTAGTTGCTAAGAATGTGAAATGCAGCTAGTGTGATCGAAAAACTGAACTTTTAATTTTAATTAATTTAAATTTAAATAACCACAAGTAGTCATTGGCTCCCCTATTGGACTAGTTCTAAAGGTTCTAGTTCAGTTCTGGAGGTCTTCCTGCCCTAGGAAGCAGATAGGATATGTAGAAGATTTGAACATCTTCCAAGAGAGAGACAGAGAGAGGAAAAAAGAGAATTTTCCCTTTGGAAAAATTTACTCATTGCAATTGGAGAATATCTTATCATATGCATAGATTTATTTCAGGCTTTTGATTATCCATTAAAACTAACTCCAGCTGGTTATTGTACTTTTTAACACGGCTTGGATATGGATCTTTTAGCTCCAGTTAAAAGCAGTGCTATTTCATTTTTTTAGATTTCTGGAAGATCTACTAAATTTTCCTGGTTTAAAAAATGGAAATTTGGCCAAGGGGGTGAATTTCTAGGTTTGAGTGTTTAGTAAATTTTAATTGATGCCATCTACACTCTGTTTGAAAGAGTTTTCCCTAAATCTTCAAGTAAAATTAGTGTTCAAGGAAGCAAAACCGTGTTTATATCCTGTGGCTTCTCTTACCTCCCTGGTCCCAGGTGCAAAGCCCAGGGGCAGGTGAGCCCAGGGTTATGCACAATTTCGGTTTGCGAAACATGGAAAAGGATCCATGGATTCCATCTTTCCTCCTAAAATTTGTCAAACCCTGGTAATCAGACTGGAAAGGAGCATGAGATCTACCTTAGTCACTCTTATTTAATACGTGTCTACTGTGTCCACTCTCCAGATCCTAGAACAATGCGGGTGGTCAGTAGGGGCCAAGCAGAAGCTGACTTCATGCGACTTTGGCATATTACATTTTTTTGATGGAACACTTTATCTGTAGTCACTTAGAATCAGCTTTAGTCAAATTGTTTTTCTTTCTGATTATTATATATCTGATGTTGTATAGTGTGTATATATAAATATGTGTGTGCATGGAAATATATATACACTATATATGTTTACGTAGATATTCATATGTTTATGTGAATATTTTGGCTTCTTAAAAATTTGATGTCTTGTTTTGCCTGGGTTTTTCTTTAAATTGAATTATTCATAATACTTCCAAACTATGTTCCTTTATAAAAATGTATATAAGTGCCTAGTATTCAAGTCTGGTCAGAATCCTTGAAAGATAGCATATATATTAGACTTTAAATGGAGATCCCCTACTGATATCCATTTCCCTGTGTTGGTAGCAGTTTGATCATTAGTAAGAGGGATCCTAAGGTAAATTTATTATTCCAGGCACTTATTGTTCACTATTCAGTATACCATTTCCCCTCATGACCCACTGAATTTGTGGAAGAAAGATTCAGGCTACACAAAATCTTGCCATACTCAATTCTGCTGTAAAAACAGAGGTTGAAGCTTTTGTGGGAAGATGTACTTAGAAAATTCTTTTTGTCTGGTATGTTCTTCCAGAAGTCCGTGCGTTTGGTAGTGAACTACCTTCGAACACAAAAGGCTATTGTGCGTGTGAGCCCCGAGGTCCCTCTCCAGAACATTCTCCCTGTCATCTGTGCGAAGTGTGAGGTCAGTCCAGAGCATGTGGTGCTCCTCAGGGACAACATTGCTGGGGAGGAGCTGGAGCTGTCCAAGTCCCTGAACGAGCTGGGGATAAAGGAGCTCTACGCGTGGGACAATAAGAGAGGTGAGGCCACCTTGCGCCTTAGACGCCACACTCCCAGCAACACAGACAGGACGCAGACACACCCCGTCAGCTATCCTCGCTACATAGCGCCCAGCAGAGTCGAATGTGTGAACTTTCAGGCAACTTGAATTTTGTCCAAACCAGAGATGAAGTGCGCAGAAAATAAATTTGACTTATTCTTATTCCCCTCAATTGTAATTTTTGGGCCTCCTTCCCCCAAGTCCTGAGCAAGTCGGTCAACCCTTGGCTCCCATGAGCTTCGGTGAGATAAGTAAGAGAGGGGAAAGGTGCAAAAAAAATTGGAGCTTCCACTCTGAAAGAATTCCTCAGAAACCGCATACAAGCCATCTTCTCATGGGTTTCCTTTTCAGCCGCCTCCTGCTCTCAAGTCTCAAACATTGCTCATGATCAAAACCAGCGCCCAAAATATGCTCAGCTGTTCTGTAAATGCCCAAATTATAGTGCATGAGGGCAGTCCCTCCAGACAACTGAGGATGCCTCCTCGGCAGCCATGCTGGAGACATCTTACCGCTCGTGGGATTTGGGTACCCGGCCTGAGGTCACAGAGCCCTGGTGAGAGCGGCCACCCCGAGGCCAATGTTGGTACAAAGACTGAGACGTCCTGTAAGCAGAGATCTCTGATAGACACGAAGGGCTGCTGCATTTCGTCAACTGTCAGACCAAAAAACATTTAATATTCCTTGACCTTAGAATTATTAAAATGGACTTCATAAAAGTATCCATTTTGATGAACTCACTCGATGTCTGTTGCTTTTTTATTTATTCCATAAATATTGAACAAGTTGGGCTTTTAAAATACATATTCAAATTTTTCATGTTTTTCTACGGCTTTTTTCAAGTTTGTCCAATAAAACAATCTGTTTTATTATTAGCAAATGTATTGTGAAATCGATGGTCATAGTGAAGCCTCCCCCCGCCCCGAAATCTCCTCCTTGAGGTTCTGGACCCTGGGTCTCATTTGACATCCAAGAAAGGGTTTTAACTGCATTGAGTTTAAGACGCATAGACTATTCCTTCAGAAACGGTGCTCTGACATTTGAGAGTAATGCGGCTTGTGTTTTAGCCAGTATCTTTTTAAAACTCACACGAGATCATCCTGAGCCTCTGCTGCACAGGCCTGGATGCTGCAGGTGTGTCCGTCTGGTTATATCAGCCCAGTTTAAATTTGGTTTCTGTGACTCTTTGGAAGCAGAGCTTTCATTTGGCGAGACAAGAAAAGAAAAGAAATGCTGCCCCATATTTAAGTATGTGAAAGAAAAAGCATTACACAAACAGGTATTTCTGCTCCATGTCAATCAGATATTTCTTGAAAGGAGGATGTAGAACCTGTTACCTGGGAAAAGTCATATAAAACCAGCCTCTCTGTTAAGGCTTGGACCCTGCAAACCCAAGGTCATTTGGAGCACAGAGCTGAGGTGTCCCGACGGGAAAGCTCCCTAAGTCTAGTGCCCCCTCTCTGATCCCCATGCAGGGCTGGGCACACTGGTGCAGCTACCCTGACCATTTGAATTTGGAAGCACTTCTGCTATAGGGGACAGAGCTGGACCCAAGGCCCTGAGTGCCCCTCTCCGCTGCCTTTGGCACCCTCCGAGGGGGGACCCCAGTAGCCTCCCCAGAAAATAAAAGAGTCACACCCAGCATGGCAGGGGACCTGCTCCAGCCCAGTGGCTGACATCCCTTTCATCCAGACCATACTGGGCCATGTGTCATGCTGGCTGTGAAATATTTGATTGCCATTCCTGCCAAACACCTCCATCCATCCCACCCTACTGACAGTCAAATATTTGAGAAGAAAAGAGAACATTTCAGAGGACATCCATGAGGAGGCCTCTTCTTTGTCCCTCTTGGGTTACATCCCCTCCCCAGCCAGCAGCTGCTTGAGAACGGGTGGGGGCCACTGGCAGGAGACGTGTTGCTAGGCAGAGACCACCTCCTTTGGAATTCCTGGAGGTGGCAGCTTATAAAAAGCAGAAGGTTTTGCTGTCACCTGCTTCTACGGTGGCACTTAGCAGCCTGGCAGCTGTGGGCCCTAGGAGATCAAGGCCAGGAATGCAGGCCTGCTTTGCCCCTGGCCTTCTCCTTCCTGCTCACAGGCAGCCCCCATCTGAGGCTAATGGAGGGGCCCAGGCCTTGGTCAGGTGCTGCTGCAGATCTCGAAGCTTGCCCTCACTCTCTCATGCCTGCCTTTTGCAGTTCTTCTGACCAAAACTCAGTCGGAGCCTTCCCTGAGCTGTCGAGGTACAGTGAGCCCGGGCACTGCGCGCTAGGCTGCACTTTGCATGGCTCTGGGCTTGGACGATGCACGGAAGAGCTGATTGTGTGCAGGACCTGAGGGAATGCAGGCATGGTGTGTGGCACCTCGAGGGGTGTCTTGCCGGCTGAAATGAGGTTATGGTTTGGTTTGACTCCCTGGTTGGCTAAGAGAAGAATGTCCCTTGTGTGAGGATTTGCTGTGTGGTTCTAATTTGTAAGAAATGAAGGAGGTGGTTGTAGAAAACTGGCCCTTTATGAACACAGAAATTCCAGGCAGAGCAGAGGTGGTACATGGGGCAGAGGCAGCATTTCCTGCTTACCTGTACTTACCTGTGCTCACCTACCCTCGAGGTCCATCCTGCCTGCTACAGAATTTGGGGCAATGTAGATTGTAAAATTTAATCTTTTCTGTCATAGACAAATATGTAAATGATTAGTCTAGATTTTGTGTTTATTCTGACACCTATTTCTTATATATACACACACAAATACATATATATTTACATGTATTACATGTACGTGCACACATATACATTGATATAGACACATACACATATATATTGGGGTTTTAATGAACATTCTGGACTGTATATACACATACACATACATATTCCAAAAAGTTCATTAAAATCCCAATGAGTATTTGCATTTTACAGAAATTTTTGTTTGTGTTTGTTACAGTATTTAACAATAGATTTTATTTCTAGAAAAAATTCACGAAAGAAAACTCTGTTGGTCTGGAATTGCAGTCCTTGGATGTCGTGGCTGACAGTGCTGTGGCCTAGGCCACTGTTCATATTCTTCATCTGTTGTTTTTCTCCTCCATCAATGGTACAGATGAAGATTACAAAAAGAAGGATTCTCTTTTAAGAAGCACCAGGAAGGGAGAGTCATTATAGCAGAAAACTCATACATATGGAGACTGTGTCGGTTCTGGTTGATTTGATCTGGGGATATGGACAGTCCGAGAGCAGCAGAGAAGGTGCATCGAAGACCCCCGTGTACACACGGTTTCGTGTGGGGCCTGGTGCTCAGAGATTGCACATGATGAGAATTCCCATGTCATGGACTTGGAAGTGCAGACCTGGTTGTCCTTGTGCATGTATTTGCTGAATGACCTCATTGTGGCCACTAGTCAGTCCTGACCTTCAGTTTTCTTATCTGGAAAAGTGAATAGCTTGGACTAGTTGGTCTTTAAGGCTCCAGCAGCTCCATCCATCCCTCCGCATCCTTAAGTCATCTTGACATTTTCCAAATCATTTTCATGCTTCGGAACAAAATGTGCTTTCTTATGGATTAAGCACAATCTCCCCTAAACTTTTATTAATATTTAAGTGTTAGTAAATTGAAGCAAAATAAACTTTGTGCTCAAGTTGTCATTCATCTAGCCATGTTCTCATGTGTCTTTTGCCCAGTCCGGGCTGTGTATCGATTGTCAGTTCCTGCTCTGCCTGTGCGGCAGGCCTGGGAGGGGATTTGGTTGATGCGAACACTGTAAGAAAAACCAGATGCTCTTGCTGAGCTCTCAAGCTGATCCTTCTGCAGTGTCTGCCGAGTCTAAAGGCCTCACAGGAGGCCCCTATCAATCCAAAGTTGCCAAAGCCTCTCCTCTAAAAATAGACCACCTGCTTGGGCCCAGCTCAGGGCTGGGTGCTGGGCGCCTGCCACCTCCAGACAGCTGCAGTCTGTGGTGGGACGAGACAGCCTCTCAGATCACTGTGGGGTAGCTCTGGTGCCAGGGCTATCCCTGAACCTTCAGCCCCGTGGAAGTGATGGCCAGCCACTCTTGCTGTTGAGGAGAGAAACGAAAGTCTCCATTTCATAGCAATTTTCTGATCCAGTCTCTCGTTTTTGTGGTTGGCGTAATAGTGTGCCCCAGTAACACGTTCTCTCTCTTGTTCATCTGTCGAGTCCTATAATATCATACATTTTACGGTATCTGTGTCATATATCACTCAATTCTAGAAACATCTAAAAACATAGGTTTAAATGACATGTTAATGCATATTGTAGTTTACGTATACCTTTACTCTGTAGTGTAGTATGTATTACCCTTTACAGCTCTGTGCTTAGTAGAGAGTTTTGATGTGATTAACCATGAACTCTGTGTGCACATGTGTATCTGTGTGGATGCATGCCTCACGACTGAAGCCGACCCGCTCACTGGTTTGGATGTCGTGTGATGTGGAGGCTGCTGGTCAGCTCAGCTGGAGTCACCTGCACAGAACCGAGAGCCCTGGCCCTCGTGACTAAAACCTGAGACTTTGCCATTACTGAATGATAAAGCGAATATGCGTGCTTGATTCTTGCTTTGTTGGGTAGACAGTATCAGTGTGAATGCATATGTTACTAACGCACTGACTTTCCTGTCTGTACTCTAATTGGAGTGTGAAATTCTAGGTTAGCAGATAAAAAAGTTAGCTGATGTTTACTTTGTTTGGGTTCATATTTTGATGGCAGAGTTTGTATAATCCTAGTCTAGATTTTTCCACCAGTGGATCCACAGTCTGGCTGTCTAGTAATTGGCAGTGGTATGGTGAAATTCATTTTTCTATCCTTTGGGAATACCTAAATTATCCGTCCTCCTGCCGTATCTGTGTGCCTTGGAAGAGAAGAACTGGACAAGTTAATAACAAAGGCCTGGAGTGGCCTTGGAGTGCCAGCATATCAGTGAATAATGATAACCGGTAGTTGTGGTAGAGCTGTATGTGCCACGCATGGTTATCTGATTTCCCCTGCAGGTGAGGAAACTGAGGCTTGGAGCAGGGAAGCAACCTGCCCACATATACTGCACACCCCATTTCTCTTAATTTCTACTCTACCAAGTCTCAAGTGTGGTCCTCACAGCTTGAGCATCCCCAGGGGCTTTGTTGAGCACAGATTGCTGGGCCCACCCCCAGAGTTTCCGATTTTGGGTCTCTAGTGGGCCCAAGTTCCCGGTGACACTGGTGCTACCAGTCCCTCCTTGCCCTGGGAACTGCAGCCCTTGGCTCCTTTGTCTGCTGCCTGACAAGTCTGGGCTGTGGTGTCCCCATTTGGAACACAGGAGGGCCCATTCTAGCTCTAAAATTATGGTGAAGAAAACACCAAGAAAGGGAGAGGATTGAGGATTAGAGCTCAAAAAAAAAAAGAAGAAGAAGGAATGGTCCCCCTCAAGAATGTAATTAAGAATGAAAACATTCTGGCTGAGGGGGGAGGAAGGAAAAATCTGGAAACGTGTGTCCTGGAAAATCTGAGGTGATTATTTCAAACTCCACCTGGGTAGACCACAGCTGTTATTCTGTGTTCTAGGAAGGAGTGAGGTCCTTCAAGCAGGAAAGCGGTTGATTTATTTTATTAAGTTAGTGTTTTTGCCTCATTCATAATTCTTAAAGCAGACGTTTTACATGGGTGTCACAGTCCTTAGAGCTGCACTGTCCAGTCTGATGGTCACGAGCCACGTGTGGCCGAGGGGGCACTTGGAACGTGGCCAGTCCGAGCTGAGACGTACTGTGACTGTGGCATGCACACTGCATTTTGAAGACGTAGTTCAAAATGAATGTAGAATGTCTCATTAATAATATCTATGTTGATTATGTGATTGAATAATATTTTAGATGTGTTGGATTAAGTAAAACGTTATTGAAATTAATTTCACTTGGTTCTTTTTGATTCAGCTACTAGAGAATATAAAATTACATATATGGTTCCCTTTATTTTTCTATCGGGCAGCACTGTCCCTGAACTTTTAGATTTGTTGTTCCATTCTCATGCGGGGTACAACCACACCCAGAGAAAACCGCCACCGCAGTCACAGATAGAGTGAAAGAACCTCTAGTGATTTCGTAAATGCGGCTGGAGGCTTCGAGGTGGCTTGGAATGCTTTGAAAGAAATAGTTGATGGTTTTACCCTCTTAAAAGAACCAAAATAAAATTTAAGAAGGGAGGATTTGTTTATTGAGATTTTTCAAGTGAAATGTTTAATCTCTTGTTTCATATGCTGAAAAATAACTTTGTACTCTTTTTTTTCCAGAAACCTTTAGAAAATCATCACTCGGCAATGATGAGACAGATAAAGAGAAGAAAAAAATTCTGGGGTTTTTCAAAGTTAATAAAAGAAGCAATAGTAAGGTAATGAATTAAATACACATACGATTTTGTATTATGTAAAAATAGTTTCTTGAAATGTTTTTAGTCAACCCATCTTGGAATTTCTCTAAATATGTTTAGGACAGTTAATTCCTTCAGGAAAAGGCAGCTTATCAGTGTGCACTAACACACTGACTCGTACTTCCACACTTGAGTCCTGAAGCAGTGTTCTTGGGTGATGGTGTTTTACTCACCAGAAGAACATGAAGCCACAAGCCCCTCTCTCCTGGAACATGCACAGGACCTGGCATGAGGTTGATGCTCAGTAACCACCTTCTGCGTTGATGAATGAGTGAACGCATGACACAGTTGAGTTTATACCAAACAGTCAAAGCCCCTAAAGATGAACTGACGCTTCAGAACTTGTTTAACATATGAAGCCTAGGGGAAGAGTATTAGTTGTTGAACTGGTCCATTTGCTAGTAAATTTTAGATGTCCTTTGGTCCTCCCAATATGATTTTGGAATATGTCATGTAAGTTAATTTTATGGATCTTATTGGTCTTTATTAAATAAATCTTAGAGTCTTAATTTGGCTACAATGTTATAAAGTCATCGTACATACAGTAAAAATGAAGATTTTTCGGATCACTTCTGAAATTCTCAAAACCGCAAATGCCTTCTAAGTACCAAGAAACTAAAATGCTCATTATCCCTATTATGTTTGTTTAAAAGGTACGTTTTGCTAAGATTGAGTATTTTCTCCTTACTAAGAAATGAGACTAGAAAGGACAAAACTGTTCTGGTGAATGTTAGGCTTCCATACTGTCAGCTCAGTGTGGAGTGTCCACCACCTGTTCAGTTTCACAAGAAGCGTGGGGAAGGTGGACTCAGGTTTGTTGAGAACCTTCTCCGCTCCATTGCGTAGATCTGTACATCTCTGCACCAGCTGTGCATCTTATTTCCCAACCTTCTGGGGGCCTACGGTGTCGGAAGGACGATTCACCCCAGGTTTGCGGAGCTCGAAGAAATAAAAATGCTTGCTCAGGGCCTCGGGGTTAGATCCCAGGTCGGTGTGACTGCAGAGCCAGTGGCTGCCCCTGGCCATGTCTGGAGGCACCAGGACAGTGAACATGCTCCGTGAAAGCTGAAGGTCCAAGTGGAGCTCAAGAGGCTGAACTAGTGGACAGTTTATTTTCGGTAGGAGTTTCTCACAAATCTCAGCTCAGGTTTTCTCTGCTTCTCCTGATGCTTTGATTATGGTTTTGTGATTCTCTTGTTTATTACTGATCATATGTGCTTTCCTCCATGTTTCCATTCATCCTTCAGAAATCTATGCTCAATGTGCATCTGTCTGTGTAAGATCTTTGGAGCCTCTGCTCCCTCCCTTCCCCTCTCCTGTCTTTTCCGTTCCTGTCAGGGTGACTGAAATTACAGATTCAGACTTTTGCATATGAATAGCCCTTCACCCTATAAACTTTGAGTTTTTGGTTCCTGACATTTTTGAGTAAGTTTGCTGGGACTGCCTTCACTGCTGTCCCCCTTGGTCCTTACAACACCAGTTCATAGTAAAATCTCCTATTTCCTCACACTCAGATCTCGAGTCATTCTTCTTGTGTCTTCCTCCTTTTGAGAGATGAAGCCAGTAACAAATCTAGAAATACTTTTGTTTTAAGAAAAATGAGGTAGCCTGAAGCTCTGGAGATTGGGAACTGACTTGGCTCCTGAGGGTTTGGCAGGAGACACACGAAAGGATGACACATCTGTGAAGATGCCACAGTTGATGAAGCCCGGTCTGCGATTGAGGAGACTTTCCTTTCTGTCCCTCTCTTTTCTCTGTCTTGGACTGCTGGGATTACTTTTCCTATCTCACATACCTCATCTTTCCCTCTCATGTATTACATTTATTTTGCTCTAGACTTCCCTTATTCAGCTGAATCATTATTGGGTTATTTGTTGTTTTCAGCGTTAACATCTTCATTCCTTGTTTCTCTCCATTTTTATTGTTTGAGCCACTGCGCTAAGTGCACCCTCATTTAATCTTCTAGAAACCTGGTGGGGGAGGTACTATCAACCCTGTTTTTCAGGTGAAGAAACCAAGGCTGCACAACTCTGTGCTAGTCATAGTGCCAGCGAGCGCCGGGGTTCAGCCCCCGCCTGTCTTCCCAGAGCCCTTGCTCTTCATTTCTCATTCACGCTGTGCATAGCTTAACAAGTCCAGCTCTCTATTTTTCTTCATTAATAATAAGAGGATTTGGAGTCAATCATTTTTTAAATGATTTCCAAAATCCTATGATGCCAGGTAGTCTACAGATGTCTCAGAGAACAGCACACTAAAGAATGGAGAAATAGCAAGGCATTAAAAGCCACAGTGAGTCCTTACTGTATCTCCTTTAAGGAAAAAAATATGCACATGTGTGTATATTTGTGTGGGGGGTGTGTGTGTGTATGTATATGTATGTAAAATCTCAGTAGGGAATATGCTTAAAGGGCTAAAGTAAATGAGGGCAAATATCTTTTCTTATTTTAAAACTGTGGCATTTCATTGTTTTTGAAACCTGACAATTTTGTGTCATCTTGACATTATTTATTCTCCTAACCCAGTAGTTCTAAAAAGTACCTGAGAATCACCTTAAAACCTAGTTTAACAATTAGATTCTTGGGTCTTGTCCCCAAAGAGTCTCATTGGGAAGTAAGGCTGAGGCCCAGGAGCTGTGTTTTCCAGTTGTACCCAGGTGGTTCTGTGGCCGGTGGTCAATACACCATCAGATGAAACATCCTCTTCAACAGTGATGTGAGATATTATTGTTTGTCTCTTATGGCTGGGAGTGAGATATCTGGTGAATTATTTCTGTGTACACCAAGTCAATGAGCAATGCAGTGTGAACTGAATTTAAAGCTTAGAAATCCTCAAAACCTAGTGAATTAATTGGTTTTCTGAGCTAACTCCATTAGCTCAGACCCACTACTGTTTTCATATTGCATATTTTCTATGCTAAAGAGATGCTTTTAGGACAAAGGAAAAAGAAAACTCATCCCTCTGAGTCATGGATTTCAAAATGGTGATTTTCAGATCAGCGACACTTGGGTTAGGGGCTGCTTTAGAGCACCTTTCAAGTTCCCAGGCTGAGGGACCTGTCCTTGGATTTCAACATTTAGTACAGGCTCTTCTGCCTTGAAGGATGGCCTTGGTGACATTTTTTCATCAATAATTGTTAAGGACAAATTTTTCATTTGAACTTATTTTCACTTGGAGATGACGTGGGTTCACGCTTGTGTTCCAGGCTGAGCAGATCGGGCTGTCCGGGGTGGACAGTGATGAGGACGCCTCAAAGTCGGCATTAGGAAGGGGCTCAAACGTGAGTACTAACACCCAGCAGGTGCTTCTTGCTAACTGGGCTGAACTTCTTGCTGCTTTGCATGGCCTTCTAGAAAATGAAATTATGGATTAGTTTAGTTGTCTTTTGCTTTTGGGGGGTTGTTTCAGTCTAGAAGATGCACAAAAGTGCAAATGGCCTCTTTTTTAGTTGTCCATGCTATATTTGGAAGATGTGGAATATTTTAGTTTCTGCCTCTCTGCACATTTGGCACAATCAGGAGGATCCCTTGTTAGATTAACTGAATTTACAGTCCCTGGAATTACTTCCGCTCATTCTCAGGAACAGCTGGTGGTTTGAGAGCCACACGGCCCTGTTTCCCAGTCCTGGGTCTACTAGTTCCTAAACTCTGCAATTACTTTGAAAGAACTTTGTAAAACTACCAGTGCCCTCACATTTCAAAGTTGGCATGTAAAAAGTTTCTTCATAATTTTAAATACTTGAAAGAAAATAATTCATAGCATCTTATCAATATTGATATCTTAAATATAGCTAATAAATTTTGATACCATCACTTTTTAAAAATTACATAGACAAGCTCTTCTAGAACAGTAAGACATTTTGCATTATGGTTCTTTTCTTTGATTTCACATTTCCATGATAGTCCGCATGTAAAATTTTATTGTTTCCAAAATATTCTTTATTCTTGAAAGTCTTTCATAAAAATTTGAAATGAAATGTAATATAAAATTAAAATGTCTATCTAATTTTTTTATTTCATGTGATCATAAAGCTGTAAGTAGGAAAATATTCTTCCAGATTGAGTTCATATTACAATTGCAAATAAATAAATCGACATGCATATGTTACAACTGTTAACATATAATGTTTAAGCATGAAAAGTAAATTGTTTTGGAAAAGATACTTTTTAATAAGATGAAAGCTAATCTTTTCATTTAATCCATATATCCACTAATGAACATAATCTATTGATAAAACTGATGTTTCAACATTAATTCTGTAAGTCTTTTCATTTTTATTGGTTTAAGCCCTGAGGAAACGTTTTACATAAGTACGCGAGTATGGAAAAGTGCTGTTATAGCAATGCCTTTCAGTTCTTTGAAGTCCTTCCGGTTAATCACATAGTAATCTATCGTCAAAAATTATTTTGAATTATTTTTTATCTGTACCTGGTTAGATTCTCTTTCAAATCTGTCAGTAGCTAAGCCTTAGAAACCAGTTGGCTTGCAAAGAGATTTGTTCCTCAGTCACACTGGAGTTACTGACTTCTTGGAGGTACAAGAAAAAAAAATACTTCACCAAGATTTATCAAATAACAATTATACTCATTACTCATTGGCACTTTCTTTTTTTTTTATAATGTTTGAAGACATCTCTCCTAATAGAATAAATGCAATAGAAACAGATGTAGAAATGAAATTATATATGTGAAAGAATTTTTTAAATTTAAAGTGTTATATGAAGTGCATATAAAGGTGTATTACAATTAGGCATAATATAGTTACTGTAATTGTGTAAATTGTTTCTAGATAATTTTAAAAAGTCTAAATGATGAATTTGACATCATACTCTTGTTTTTATCCTTGTTATATTTTTCAGTAGTCTCAAATTACAATTCCATGCTTCACAGCTGCTGATTTTACTAACATGTTGATCTGGACTAAGGAATAGCAAAATCGACTAATTTTTTTTATTTTATTGAGATATAATTGACATATAATGTTGTGTTAGTTTAATGTCTACAACATAATGATTTGATATATCTCTATGTTGCTAAATGATCAGCACCATAAATTTAGTTAACATCTATCCAAAAAATTTTATACCTATGTTTGGTGATGGATGTCATAGATAAGGTTCGAGGAAATTGAAATATTGTCAGTTTTTACTCACTTTTGCCAATACAGTGTTTTTTAATGAAATTTTTTAATCTAATCCCAAATTTTAAATATATTTTTGTCGATATCTTAGGTTTATAGATTTAGCTCATTCGGTTTATGAAGAGTGTCTGCCATATAAACTAATTGGCAAAATGAACCCTTACTGTCCAACCAAAAACCTAAATCAAATTTATTTTTGGTTAAGAAAAAATCAAGTTATAGTTTTTAATTTAAGTAAATATGTTAGTATGTGTCCCGATGGCCATTATCTCGTTCCTGAATGTAACAGTAGCTGTGGTGAGATGCTCTCAATTCCTCACAACTCACCTTAAGAACATGGGTTTAATGCTCTAGACTTAATACTTCTTTCCCCTTTTAATGGCCATATTTTAATGCTCTGTGAAAATCAGCTCTCAACTTTTATGACAACCAAATCTTGTTAATTTCTGACTTGAAGGAGGATTTAACATGTGGTAGGAACTAAGGCTGCAAGTGAACCCAGGCATGGCAGCAGCCCGTCAGTAGAAATGCTCGTGATCGTTCTCATCTGAATCCAAATAAACAGGATTAAAATTATGTAATGAATTTTAAGAAAATTCCTTCTTCAGGTTTATAATGTTAAGCAAATCTTTACCTGACATAACCACATCAGCAATGCTAGTGTTTTTTGCTATAAAACATACTTAAATCAACTGAGAATGGTTTGGAATGTCCATTGACTCATTGGTCTATAAGGCTTATCTTTCATCGTCCTCAACTTTGGCCACAAATTGTTTTTTTAAATTTTATTTATTTATTTATTTATTTTCGGATGTACATCCTAATATGTTTCAAATTCTGTGTAGATTACATCATGTTCACCACCCGAAAACTAATTATAGTCCATCCCTTCGCATGTGAGCCTAATCACCCTTTTTGCCCTCCCCGCTTCCGCTATGATAACCACCAATCCAATCTCCAATGCTATGTGTATGTTTGTCATTGTTTTTATCTTCTACATATGAGTGAGATCATATGGTATTTGTCTTTCTCCCTCTGACTTATTTCATTCAGCATAATACCCTCAAGGTCCATCCATGTTGTCACAAATGGCTGGATTTCATCATTTCTTATGGCTGAGTAGTAGTCCATCTGTATAAATACCACATCTTCTTTATCCATTCATCCCTTGAGGGGCACCTAGGTTACTTCCAAGTCTTGGCTATTGTGAATAACGCTTCAATGAACATAGGGGTGCATGTATCTTTATCCCTTTGTGTTTTCAAGTTCTTTGGATAAATACCCAGCACTGGGATAGCTGGATCATATGGTAGATCTATCCTTAATTTTCTGAGGATACTCCATACTGCTTTCCATAGTGGCTGCACCAGTTTGCACTCCCACCAGCAGTGAACAAGGATTCCCTTCTCTCCACATTCTCTCCAACATTTGTTGTTTCCTGTCTTATTAACTATAGCCGTTCTGACTGGAGTGAGGTGATACCTCATTGTAGTTTTGATTTGCGTTTCCCTGATAGCGAATGATGTTGAGCATCTTTTCATATGCTTCTTGGCCATCCATATATCTTCCTTGGAGAAATCTCTGTTGAGATCTTTTGCCCATTTTTTAATTGGATTGTTGGTTTTTTTGTTGTTGAGCTGGATGAGTTCTTTGTATATTTTGGATATTAACCCCTTATCTAATATATGGTTTGCAAATATTTTCTCCCAGTTGTTAGGTTGTCTTTTTGTTTTGTGATGGTTTCCTTTGCTGTGCAGAAGCTTTTTAGTTTGATGTAGTCCCATTTGTTCATTTTTTCTTTTGTTTCCCTTGCCTGGTCAGACATGGGACTTGAAAACATGCTGCTCATGGGGCTGGCCCGGTGGTGCAGCGGTTAAGTTGACACGTTCCGCTTCTCGGCAGCCTGGGGTTTGCTGGCTTGGATCCCAGGTGCGGACATGGCAGCGCTTGGCATGCCATGCTGTGGTAGGCGTCCCACATATAAAGTAGAGGAAGATGGATGTTAGCTCAGGGCCAGGCTTCCTCAGCAAAAAAAGAGGAGGACTGGCAGTAGTTAGCTCAGGGCTATTGTTCCTCCAAAAAAAAAAAAAAAAGAGAGAAAAACAAAGAAAATATGCTGTTCATAGACCGATGTCAAAGAGCGTACTGCCTAGGTTTTCTTCTAAAAGTTTCATGGTTTTGGGTCTTACATTCAATTCTTTAATCCATTTTGAGTTGATTTTTGTGCATGGTGTAAGGGAATGGTCTACTTTCATTCTTTTGCATGTGGCTGTCCAGTTTTCCCAACACCATTTATCGAAGAGACTCTCCTTTCTCCATCGTATGCTCTTGGCTCCCTTGTCGAATATTAGCTGTTCATAAATGTGTGGGTTTATTTCTGGGCTCTCAATTCTGTTCCATTTATCCGTGTGTCTGTTTTTGTGCCAGTACCATGCTGTTTTCATTACTATGGCTTTGTAGTATATTTTGAAATAGGGGAGTGTGATACCTCCAGCTTTGTTCTTTTTTCTCAGGAATCCTTTGGCTATTCCAGGTCTTTTGTTGTTCCATATAAATTTTAGGATTCTTTGTTCCACTTCTGTGAAAAATGTTGTTGGAACTTTGATAGGGATTGTGTTGAATCTATAGATTGCTTTAGGAAGTATGGACATTTTAACGATGTTAATTCTTCCAGTCCAAGAGCATGGAATATCTTTCCATTTCTTTGTGTCTTCTTCGATTTCTTTCAACAATGTTTTATAGTTTCAGCGTACAAATCTTTCACCTCTTTGGTTAAGTTTGTTGCTAGGTATTTTATTCTTTTTGTTGCAATTGTAAATGGGATTGTATTCTTAATTTCTCTTTCTGCTACTTCGTTGTTAGTGTATAGAAATGCAACCGATTTTTGTACGTTGATTTTGTATACTGCAACTTGTCTGTATTCCTTTATTGTTCCTAAAAGTTTTTTAGTGGAATCTTTAGGGTTTTCTAGATATAAAATCATGTTGTCTGCAAAGAGTGACAGTTTTACTTCTTCTTTTCCAATGTGGATCCCTTTTATTTCTTTTTCTTGCCTGATTGCTCTGGTTAGGACTTCCAATCCTATGTTAAATAAGAGTGGTGACAGTGGGCATCCTTGCCTGGTTCCTGTTCTTAGACGGA